TTCCGAATATGAAACTAAGTCAATTCTCAAGCTATTAAAATATTGCCAAAACACATACAATAAAAAATTATGACTATGTTGTAGTTCAATTTGAACTAAGTCCGCTCAGTCGTTCTGAAGTCATTCGTCAAAAATGTTTCCTATAATATAATCTATTCATTACATCGAAATCAGTGTGCAGCGAAGCGATATCTAAAGATAATAATATTGAAATATCTGAAAGCCAATTAATTGCTATTTACAATTGATTTATTGAATTTCAACCATTTCCCATTAAATATAAGTTTTGAATTTGAAGACAACGAGTTTCTGATGAATGGAAGTTAATTGGATGAAGTTTGATTATTCTGTTAATGTAATTTGATTGAGTTTCTCTGTATAAATACGAAGTTTTTAAATAATATATACTTATTAAATTAAGCTGAAGCTAGTTTTATCACATTTATTTAAAGACATTAAATGACTACTTCCTTAGTATTTTTGTTTTATTCCAAAAATAATAGTTAAGTGTAAAATCAACCATTAAAAGACCCTCAGACCAGCACTGATTCCAATTTTAAAATAGGTATTAAAAACATATCATCATAAGGGATTAATTCAGTTTAATGTAAATTAATCAGACAAAACTTAAGAAGTATTGAATCAAATTGTTTTAGCGAAAAGTTTTAAAGCTAGGTTAAAAGTTTTAATAAAATCCCAATAAAATATGGTGACTATTTTTCAAACTATCTGAGCCTGGCCTTGTGAAAAAACTTAAGTGAAAAGTGACTTTGAGGAATTCTCAATGAAAATTTGAGGGTTGAAACTTTATATAAAAATAAAAAATCATTACAAGTCTATTTCTATGTACAGTTACTTTTAACAGTCCACTGTGTTATCACCTATAGTAGCATCATCTGGACTAAACATAAAATCAACTCTGCAATTGAATCTAAGCGTTGCTTCGCTGAACAGGCATCAACCAAACAGCGCTAAAAGCGCTTTAAAAGCACAACATTAAACGGAGTTGTACGCTTATCGCAGTTTTCCAGCGTATCCAGCGAACACTTTCCGCTTGAACATAACAATTTGCATTCAACGATAGAAAAACTGATTCAATCTACATATTTTTATATTAGGAATAACGCACAAAAAGGTGAAGCGATCCAATTATTGGCCCTCGACAACGCAAATAAAAACTTAATGTTCGTGTATTTGGGAGGGTGGCAACGACTGCTACTCGGCGGTTTTTCTTTTACATTTTGATATAAAAATAGAATTTTCGTGGAAGAGAAGATGAAAAACTGAACAAAGCGAGTACTTTGGGTTATGTTAAAGTCGTGTTAGTCTTATAAATATCTACATATGTATATAAAAATCAATAACACTTTTCATTGTAATGTTACAACTTAACAACAACGTGGCGTATGTATGTATGAATGTAACTATGATGTATGCATGTGTATAGTTACGGTTGCGCTCCGTCGAATAAATTCATCAGTCGTGAATATACGGTCCTACCATACTTAAGCCTCTTTCATTTAGTCGCCCTCCCAGTACACACTCTTTTTCATGTAAATAACCCTGTAATCTCTAAAAGTCTTTACCGATTTGGATAATTAATTTAGTTTTAAATTATTCGTAGAAGTCCAGAAAAGGTGTGAACGTAGTGACAAATTAAAAAACAAATCTTGAAAAAGTGTAAAATCGACATCCATTCTGGCGAAGCCGCGGGCGACCGCTATAAAATACCCAAAACAATCAAATTGACTGACTTGTCGACCAAAACCAAATCCTTGCTTAATCCTAAGTATTACGATGACTGAGTCTGGACCTAGCGTACAGGGTGATTTATTACTAAAGCAATTTATAATCTTGTAAGTAACGAATCTCCAACATGTATGCTGAAGACAGAAGCATGACTCAATGACCCCTTGATAGATTAAACCCTAGTAACAAGTCACTATGTGGAATAGGAGACTGGCCCCTAACTACATAGGTATTATAACTTAACTAACAAAGAGCGTGTGTTACATTTTATTATCACTTCACTATATATTTTAAAACAAAGTCGCTGTCTCCGTCCCTATGTGTGCTTAAATCTTTAAAACTACGCAACTGATTTTGATGAATTTTATTAATACATAGATAGTGTTATTGAAGAGGACGTTTTATAATTATGATATGACTATAATAATAACATTTATTAAATATTAGAGGAGAAATTCTGTATCAATATTGCACCTGTGCGAAGCCGGGTTTTGGATAAGTGCACCGTTTTAAGAATTACTTATCTATACTGAATATAATACTATAAAGCTGACGTGTTTGTTTGTTTGTTTGAACGAGCTAATCCCAGGAACTACTGGTTCGGATTGATAAATATTTTTGTTTTACCCGTAGTACCCGTAGGAACACATTATCTACGTAAGACACAATGCATTTTCTATTATTTCTTATATACCGGCAGTCAAGTGGTTAATAGAGCATTTATTGAGGAAGGCTTTAAGCTATAAAAAATCACGCTACGATCTGTAGGAGCCGAGCAGCGGGTGAAACCGCGCAAGAGAAGCTATACAGGGTGTAAAAAGACACTTAACGAAGCCGTTAACTACGCATACTGCAGTTCTAACTAAGTAGCTTTACGCTAAAATTATCACTGGGAAACGACGTTTATTTTTAGGTATCAAAAATATAATAATTTTATTGCGCGCAATGTAAAGCAAACGGGCTTCGTGTCATTGCGTTCGTAGGTTCACAGCTTAGCATTAAAACGCTGTAAGTACGTATGTCGACGTTTTACTTCGCAACAACAAAACAATTCTGTAAAATAAAAATCCTACCACGATATAAATATACCGACGAGAAGCACGATGTTTTTTGTGCGGGTCTGCATTTATTTATTACGTACATTACTGTTCGTAACTTCAAATGCGTAATTTATTTAGAAAAATCGAAAATTCAGGTAATGTTTGGTTGGAAAAAGTTTTGTAATAATACTTAGAATTCGATTACGCAAAAAAAATGCATCTTTGGCCTTCAATATCTCGAGAACCCGTGGATCTATGGTCTTAAAGAAAAATGATCCAAATAATGGGTAGAATACGTGGCTTTCGGCTTCGTTAAGTGTCTTTTTACACCTTGTATATGTATAATCTGTGTTACGGTAATCAACACTCTGTAAGTCACGTCACGTGTGTTGAGCGTGACATTTTCCTTGCTCATTAAATCGAGTGGAAGGCTCTGTAAGGAAAACATTAATAGTACAAGCATGAATGAAAATTTTGGGTATACATATGAATCCCTTTGGCCCAGAGCACGGAATTAAGAAAGAATCGTGTAAGCATGGTTATAAATACATGACTATTATTTGATAGTTTAGAATAGCTATAATCAACTTTTAACTACTCTGTACAACTCATCGCCTTTCACTATTTTAAATTATTTTTGTGTTATGTAACTTTTGTGAGACATTTATACCGGGACTCCTAATACAAGCAATCTTTAGTTAAAAAATATAATATTTATGTAATGCCTATTGTAATTGAAATAACGCTTTTTATTTGTATTATAATATATAAATTATTATGTTTAACGGCTTACTTGGGTAATTGTTTGACGAGGAACCTCTACTAGCTTTAAGCCATGTTCAGCAACTCGGAGTTAGCTAACGAGTTGACAATAATTAATCAATTAATAACTGTTTTCGATTAAAGTATTAAATTTCAATTACCATTTCTCTTACTCTTTTGTGAGATAATATATGTATTTTGAGGAAGGATATTATATGTATTTTCACCCCGGATTCTCACGGGTGACTGCTAATACTAAATGGTTCCACTATTACTTGGATATTATTTATTATAAATCAAAGTCAAAGTCAAAATCATTTATTTCAATTAGACCCATACAGGCACTTTTGAACGTCAAACAAAATTTTAAAGATATAAAGCGTCAGTCAGTCGCCCAGTCCTCTTAGTGAAGCTATACATATAAGCTTTACTCTTCAATCACTATGTCTATTCCGTCATCACACATCAGAATCCGTCTCGTAGTTTTAAAGATTTATATAAGCATACATAGTGATATAGGGACAGAGAAAGTGACTTTGTTTTATACTATGTAGGTAGTGATATTATCTCATCCACAATATTATAATTTCTGTATAATTGAACTTCACCCACTTCTTATAGTGAATACAAATCATGTCAGTCTGTTTGTCAAATGTATTCGGCGCTTGAGACATTAGGCGAGGTTGTCAAGTACAGTTCAGTCCTATTGTTTTGTGTGTGTTTATGTCTCGGCTTAGTTTAATCTGTAGAGATTCGGTTACGTTGTTAGCGATAATATATTTTGTAACTCAATATTTTTAAGGAACGTGATGCATAAGTGCTCGTGTATTCAGCAATGAGCAGTATGACAAATATAAGGACAAAAAATTACGTAAGGAGGATAACCAACAAAAAATACAGGATGAATTGAAAAATTTCTTTCTTTTTTGAAAATAGTTTAAAATTATTGCGTTATATGTTCAAAGTACTTTTACGTTTCGTCTTGTGAGCCACGTATATAAGTGACCTGTTATAAAATTTTAATCCCAAAACTTTATTATGGCGCTAAGTTAGGAGTTCTGGGTCAAGCGTAATCATTGTAATGCGGTTCCAGTCTGGTGCAGGAAAAGGAATGGGGTGGTTTTCACCCAGGGCGTGACAGGTCAGATTTTTTGATGATCTTTTAGCACGTCACAAGCTTCTTAAGCTTAACCATCTCTAAACAAATTGATTATTTGATTGACAAGGATTTATATTAAACCTTTGGAAACTTCTAAAGAAACTTTAAATAAGAAGTACATATTTTCGCTTAGTCTTTATAAACTAATATTCTTCCTTTAAGAAATTATAGCCTCATTTCTCCACCTACGTAATTACCGTAGAACCACGGACGATCCCATTCACATTAAAATGCATAGATTAATTAAGTTCTTGATAAACTTGCTTCAAAAGTCTATGAACTTCAGTACAATGTTGCAGAATCAATCACTAAGGTCTAGTGGTCGTCAAAGTTGGAAAGTATTTGCGGTTATGTATATATAAAAGTTTATAAGTTTGTGTGTCTTTGGGGAGCAATGTACTAACGTAATTGTTTGTGTAGGGATAGTTTTTGAACTTTTTACATTATTTTATTTTTTACTTTTTGTGGTGAATGGTTTTAGAGCCCTTTATCGAAAACAGCTACAGTGACATGTAAACGTTTGCAACTGCAGAAAAGTCCATACGAATAAAAACCTCGTATTGTGCTTATGACAATACAATTTTCCTCTCTATCTTATAGTTATATGTCATAGCTAAGTTAAGGTTATGACTGAATCTAGCTATGGCCAAAATGGAATGAACTCTTTATATTCGACCCTACGCTAAACAATAAACTAGAACCACTAAGGAGTGGAATCCCTTACGGCAGTTTTTGTTTCTCGAAGGCTATATAACCTATAGTCAGACTTTTAATTCGATTCCTGATTTGACATTGACCACTGTCATTTTGGGAATTAATGATACCACATATAACAGTGTAGTGATGAACACAAAAATCGATAAACAATCAGTGAATCAGGTTCAGGAAGGCATTCAAAAAATTACGGCTACCGAATGGTCTAAATGTGTATCCCATGTTTTCAAAGAAGAGGAAAAAATGAGTAAGCTAGATATGTTAATTGACAATAAATATCAAAGACACAATTTATAATAAATGTTACATAGAGTAACGGCGATAGCGATACCGATGACGGCGACAATTTATAAAATGTCTGTTTTATTAGTCACGTTCCTTTATGATCACATTTTTATTAATTTCACACACAATTACAAAAGAAAAGTCTCAGATCGTTAATTAATTGTCAAAACTATATTATCGGTTCAGAAATATTTTATTTCCTGATAAACTTAGTTTACGAGAGTAAATTTATAAACGAGAGGAATAGATTCAGAAATATTCGATTTCCACATCGAATAATTTCGCAACGTCACTATTTATTACGTGTCATAACGTTGCAACACTGAAATTGTCAAATCTGGAATGGAATTAAAATTCCGAGTATAGGTGTTTTCAAGGGCTGAGTGAATAGGTTGCTTATGGGTAGGCGTGCTCCATCCTTGGTCAAATCATCGCTTACCACCAGGCGTGATAACGACAGCATGCCTGCCCATTACTAAATAAAAAACACACTCGTAACATTGCGGATACAAAAAGGCTTTCATGGTCTAAAACATTTTAAGTATGGGAGAGTCATGCTTCGGCACGAATGGGTCGGCCCGACCGGTGTGATACCACGGCCTTACAGAAAACCGGTGACACAACCACAGCGTTGTGTTTCGCCGTGTGAGTGAAGTTACCGGGTCCCCAATCCTTCCTCTTCCCAAATCCGTCCCCAATCCCTAAATCTCCCAAATCCCTAATCCCTAAAAGGTCGGCAATGCACTCGTAACTCCTTTGTTGTTGCGGGTGTCCATGGGCCGCGTTGATTGCTTACCATCAGGTACTCCATGTGCTCGTTTGCGGACCTATCACATAAAAAAATAAACATATTAGTTGCCGGATCAAAATTGCTAGACCATCTCTAGTTAAACAGTCAAACTGAGACAAGATTCAGTACATACATGGGTCTACCTAGATTGAGATTGTAGGTCACAAATAATTGATCTAAAACTGAACGTTCCTGTGTTGATCTCGATCGAATCACTTTCGAATCCAGATAAGGCAAAAAGTTTAATTGAATTTTCTTTTCCAACATTTTTTTCACTTTGGAATGGGACAGGGTTAGTACTTCGATAAATGGTAGAGAGACTTGTTTTACGTCGTAAGATGTGTTAAGTTCACCTTTTTTTTATTTCCTTTAGGCACAGACTGAGAGTCGTAGACATGTCTCTAGACGGAATAGCGATTCCATAGAGCGCCTGGTTGTTCAGGGAAAGGTGGAAGGGACAAGACCACGCGGAAGATCACCTGTGCGTTGGACTGACCAGGTTAAATCGGCAGTAGGAACGCGTGTATCGGACTGCACCAGACAGTCTGCCAACAGGGAGAGATGGCGGGAGATCGTGCGGAGAGTTGTGTCCGCCTCAACCACCGATGTGGATGCCTCTACGTGCCCACGACCGCTCTGCCAAGAGCGAAACGATAGAGAAGAAGAAGAGAGTCGTAGGTAAGTTTTTCTAAAACGTCCTTTGCCTAGACTTTTGCAGTGTATAATAAACTAGCTTCTCGCACACGGTTCAGCTCGTGTGTAACGTTGATAAATCGCAAAGCAAGCCTATGTGTTAATCCAGATCATCATCTATCTACGTACCAAATTTCAACCAAATCGATCCAGCCATACATTCTTACATTTATAATATTTGTCTATTCTATTCTGTTTTTTGAACATAAAGAAATATAAACAGATATTGATGGGGACTGGTATGATTTGCCTGATCATGAAAGGATTAATTTAGGAATATTTTGGAATCCCATAAATCTACTGAGCGTATCTGTGCAAATAAATTAAAAAATATGATGGGATAACGTTGTACTTGGTGTACCGTCCAATATTAAGTTATGAGCTGATGGCGGGTTGAAGTATGTAAATGCTTTAAATTTTTCTTTTGTTTTATTTTCAATAAATAACATATCTCGCTTTTTCTATTACTAATTGTAGAAAAAAGTATCGGTACGTTTACGATTTTGTTTACCCACTTTCTTAAGTGTACATATTGTACTTTTTTTAAGTTTGGTTTTTCCTTTATTTTTTGAGGGTAGAATAGATCATCCAATGTCTCTTCCCACGCTGTGTGAGGGAATTGGGTTTGTCAGAGTCCTACTGACTTAGAACAACCCCGTCCCTTCTCCTTTTCTAAGTTCCTGTGCTACCCCAACAAACGTTCTACTAGTTAAGTAATTAGTCTATCCTTTTTGTAATAACAGGAGAGTTTATATGCAAGAAAGGAGTATCTCTAAGCTTTGAATATCAGTGAAACTAGATAGTAAGATTAAACTCTGTAAACCTGTCGCTACTTATACCACAGCTAAAAATGTCCAATACTAACGTATATTACACACGTGCCTCCTCTACCTTCTGAAGTCCTCGTATCTGACGTGATTGCACTTGTTGGAAAATCCATCTAAATATCAATTTATAAATATTAGCTTCAGCCGAATGAACTCCTTACATCCTCAACTCATTTTATACGCAACAGCGTTTTCGGAAAATAAACAGATGGGCGACATTTTCCGATATTTTAACGCTTTATATGTAGAAGATTGGATGTGGCAACAAAAATGTGGCTTTATGTGAGTTCCTCGTTCTAGTTTCTAGTGATACTTATGCCGCCTTCAAATTCTGTTTGCCTGGTATTTGATTCTCTTTGTCAATGTTCTGAATACGATGTGTAGGTATTATGTATGTAAGATAGATGATAAAAATCCTTAATTGCACAAGTGAAATTTGCGTAAGAAATAACACTGAAAGAAACATTCTAACTGACAACTGTTGGGCCATTAGCCCGTCAGGCTACATCTGTTCGCCTGGTTGGAGAATCCGTTGCCTCCTTCCCGATCTTAGGAAACAGTACTTTCTGTTCTCTAAATTACTTGAGACCCACAAACATCTCTTGCTGTCTGTATCATATTTTAAAGGCTTTCAAAGATAATATTTAACATAGCATTAACATTGTTTAACATAAAAATGCCTAATGTCAAAACACGTTAAGATTTATAGACGTGATATTTTGAAGCGGACTGAACGTGAAACCATTAAGCAAAGCGATGGAAGTAACTGAAAAAAAATATAAGATCATTATAATCAGATTTAAAAATCATTGAATAAAAAATATTATGATGTTGTTTACGGACGCGTAATTAAGCAATTTTAATAAGTAATAAATAAATGAAATTTATTTTAGGCTATTATTTTTCAAGGCTATCAGACATACTATTCTTATAAAGTTTTTGATTAAAATATCACTATAAATTATGATTCAATTGAGACTCATCAAAACGAAAGGGAATACACAAAAGGAAAATTTAAATTCCTATTTTATTTTTCATAGTAAAAATTAAAATGTGAACGTTTATGAAGACTTATTGTGTGTATATTTCGCGTTAAAATTACAGAATGGATCGGAGTGCAATTTGGAAAGTAGTTACCAAGTATGGAGTGGAGTCTGGAATAACATATTATAGGCTGCTTATCATCTCGGATCGGATGCCGGCAAACCTGCTGGTAGAAGCTAGTTCATGAATATTTTAAGGAACTGCATATTTATTTAATCTTTTACATTCAGGTAACAATGCCCCAATGAAATTCTAAAAAGAGACCTTATAAACTAACATATACATATACGTTAGATAAGATAATACCTATATATATGTATTTATTTGCCAAAAATACGTGTATGTATATAATACAGTTAGCAAAGAAAACTTAAATCTATGGTAGTGACAATTTACGATAGATACATCGGAATTTTACATCAGAAAGGGAAAAACAAACTAAGAAAAAAGAATCAAGACCAAAAGCCTCACTGAATAATAAAACTACAATTCCGTGTCTGTGTAGAAGTAATTTGATGATTTTCCTCTCGCAAAAAAATGGTTTTCTCTCAATGTCTTCACGGTTTGTCAGTGGCATCTAAATAATCATAGAAAGTACATATAACTCGATAAAAGTCACATAGGAGCTTGCTAGGTTTCGAACTCGCACCCTCGTGCATGAGAAGCGGGCGTCTAACCTCCGGGCCACCAACGTTACACTTACTATTACACTTTCGATTCCTGGCAGGAAATTCCATATTTAATATTTTATTAGGAGCAAAACTATATGGAATTGGGACTAGCAGACAATTAGCACAATGAGTATGCTATAACTTAGGCATCTAGACCAGACTAGGTAATAACTTAGATCGACAGACTAATTTGTATTGGATGTTAGTGTTACATAAACGTATGTACTGCAATTGCGGAAATGTAACGTGATGAGGGTGGATGGAATAGATATGTTTAAATAAGTTTTTAAAGTGTGTAAGAGGCATGTTTCGCTGTGTGAGTGTAGTTGCTGTAGGCCCAATCCTGTATCCTCAAATCCCTTAAAACCCACAAGAGGCAACGTAATTACTACTTTGTTATTGTGAGTGTCCATGAGCGGCGCTGATTGCTTACCATCAGGTAATTCGCCTGCTCGTTTTCCGACCTTGAAAAAAAATCATCATATTGTAATGCGCATACTTTTAGCCAATTCGGTTTTGTATCTATTTGTAGCAAGAAATATTTTTTAACACCACCAGCCGGCTGGAGCCGATTCGGTCTCGATTAATTATCTTTATTAAAATCAACTTTTTGTTTAGACAGGTAGTTTAGTAGGTTATTTCCCTTAAATATATATGTATTTAATTTCGTTGTTACGAATAGTATTTGTTGTGATGCAACAAAAATAAATTAGTTCAACTGTCAAGATAGCATGGAAAGTATTTCCTTTCTTCGTCGTCTTGGTGTTCCGGTATTTTCATGGTTGTATCTACTGTAGATCCTGGTTTACAGTAATTGCAGCTATTTTGGCAGGAGATGGCAGTATTATCCTAATAAAAAAGTCTAGCTGTCGTCTAGGCTATTTTTTTTGTTAAATCGGTTCTTTTATGTCCGTCGGTTCTGATGATATTTTCAGAAACAAGAAATGTCTTCCGATTACGTAGTTGCTTAGGAACTCTCAATCACGTGGACTATCAAAAATCAATATCGAAATTCTCAGTAAAATCTAAGTGCTTTCATAGAATTGAAATGATTATACAAACCGAACATTGTTTTCTAAGAAAGCACTATAGTTTATTCAATAGCTTGTCGGGTTAAATATTTAATGGTAATTGTATTTTCTGCTCTGGTAACACATATCTCGAATAGATTAGAGGTACTCGCGGTTACTTGTGTTAATGACGAATTGTATAGAATTTCGTATCGCTATAATTGTGGTAAGTTAAGAGACAAAATTAAATTAATATTGAATGAATAAAAAGGTTTTTTTGATAATGATTTCTATTTATAGCATAGGTCGTTGTCCAGGTCTATAACCCGAGATAGCTAAGGAGTGGTTTTTTTTGCCGGTGTCTGTGTTTTCCGAAGGAAATAACCTGGATGTCTTTAAGGCCCGAGTGAATAGGTTGGTTATGGGTGGGCATGCTCCATCGTAGGTCGCATCATCGCTTGCCACCAGGCGTGATAGCGGCCATATGCCAGTCAATGACGAAGTAAAAAATAGCTAATGGTAAACAACCGCTTCGGACTGGAGATTAAAGGGAGACAGAGCCAAACTGGTGGCCCCTTCGTTGCCTACTACGAGCAGCATCGACCCTTACTCGATCCCGCTTAACAACCACGTTTTGAGACATGGTCTTTTCACAAAACGGGGTTACTTGTCTGTAATTTTCTATCTCTGTCATCATAAACTTATTTGCTGGAAGGTGTTAGCCAATCCTGGCATCTAGGATCCGCTGGTCAGAGGCCCACGCCGCAAGCCGGGCACTATTCGAGAGCGTGATTTGCAGGGATCCTGGACCTGTTATTTCTGATAATTTTAAATTAAATTTAACTGAGCAAGCGTGATAATGTGACGATGTTTGTGATGTTAATTTAAAAGTTATCATTTAGGGAAAGTCATTTGGTATCCATAACATCGTTTATCGCAAATTTTTACGCACCAAGGTCACTTTGAAACACTTACAGTAAATGGCACAGTTTTGTAACACATGACTGGACATACAACAGACAGACAGCCAGGTTAGAAAAGATTGCACTCTGTCCATTAGTTTTAAATAACATAAAAGTTTAAAATAAAAAATGGTAAGCTTTGTATAACGTACAAAGATGTACTCTATCACTCAAGCTGTCTGTCAGACAGTCTATTAAGTTTTTCTGCTCACCTCACAGGGGAAATCAGGATGAAGATAGTTTTCATTTATTTACAGATTCAATTACTTTATGTGTAGTCGCAGAATGTACCTAATAATTTGAAATAAGTGCGTGCTGTATATTTTTTTAATTTTGTTGGATTTTAACTCGCTGTTGATTATATTATTATAAATCTCACGTTATAGGAGATAGGGTTAAATTTGTTGAAACATTAGCACAATTTTTCGGACACCTTCCAGTATTGGTTGACTTGCTTTGTGTTGTGAATAGTTACTAAACGATCAAATAAGACAATGTTATATATGCAATTGTTCAATCATTCTTTCAGGGAGGAAAACCATTAAATGAGTTCTCTTGCCCTTGATAGGGTGGAAGGGATTGTCAGACTCTGAGCGACTAAAAACTAACGGGGCTCGAAGCCGGGACCCTTATTGCACTTGACTGATTGCGACTGCTTGTCTTGTATGATAAGGTGATAAACGAGCATTTTTATTACCTGGTGGTAAGCAATCAGTGCCACCCAGACCAGGAGCCATCAGTGGGTTGCCGGCATTTTAGGGATGATTTAGGAATTGGGGAGGGATGCAAGAAAGGGACGGATTGTTTTAATACAATATTTAACTTAATTGTAATAAGAATGAGATTCGACTACGCGGTTTTGGCAGTTTAAGATATCATGACGTGCTATATATCTTGTTATTACGTATATCGAAAGAAAATGTTTATCAGCTTTTTCTAAGTAGGTCGGGGTCGGCAAAAGATTGTGCTCAACGTCGGTATATTCCAAGAAGTGACTGTTAGGAGCTCGCTACGACCTAATATGGCTGATACGATATTCTTGCTTGGACGCGTTGCTTAACTTACTGTTATAATTTCTATGACAGTTAAGATTTTACAGTTGAGGGTCCTTTGTACACTGATGTTATAGTTAGGATTGTTAGATGTTTAATGAATTGAAATGTGAATTTATTGCGTTTCGTTTTTCCAAGACTTTACTGTACCTTCAAGTGTAGGATACCAATGTTTTTGCCATGAATCGGCCGGTTCGACAGTTCTACGGCCTTACAGAAAACTGGCATGGAATAATGCTTGCAATGATTTTACGATATATTTAATAATTATTTTAGATAATTGAAGAGAAACAAGTATGAAGTCACAACGTAATAACACATCATATAAAATTTGTAGAAAATTTTCGTTTTTCTCATTTCGAAAACAATCATGGAACTAGTTAGAAATTATTATAATATTTGTTACAAAATGTTTTCTGATATTAGGTAGGTATATCAGAAAACATATCATATCCTTAGTTCGGTCTTAAGAAACCAGTGCAAATTGTAGAGGCTTCCTCTATACGACAAACAAATGAAGGTTTAGCATTGCTGAATTTCAGGCAATGATCTACATGTAAAAAAAAGCCCTTTTGATATTAATTTATTAAAAATGATCATAATTTAAAGCCTTCTTAATAATTTAAGAAAGAAAATGTACCTTTTAATAGACTGTAAATGGAAATTAAAATATTAAGTAGCAATCAGCTGTTAAGGCTCTTAGAGCTTCTCAAAAGTGAACTTCGTCAAGGGCCAAAGGGTTACTTGAAGATCCTTTTCTTGAGATTTTTATTTTGTTTTACGTAGAATTTGTTTCTTTCTTTGTAAGTACGAGTATGTTTTTTTTCATTGAATAAAAACGTTGCCCCACACTTGTATTTTCTCCCGTGTCGTGGGTGCGGTTACAAACATACAATTTCACATACACAAGCCAGCCAGACCAGGAACAACATTTTTATGGATCACACAAAAAGTTGTTCCGTGCGGTAATTAAACCCGCGACACGTTGCACGGCAGCCAGTTGCCCAGCCACCGCACCAACCGTGCAGTCAAACAAAGTCATGTATGGATTTGTAAGCTTGTTTGTTTTCTCTTAACCAAACAAAATAAGTGCCATACGTTAATTGAAAGTGACTCTACTTTACGCTATGTGTAAATAAGGCTTTTTCTTTGTGGAGAGAAACCGTAATTTTGTTTCTCCCGGCCTGTGTGTATGGGTGGGCGACAGGGAGTGTCAGACTCTTACTGACTAAGAACCATCCTATTCCTTCTCGTGCTCAGGTTCGTAGCCGCGTCACTTTTTTCTTTGGCACGGGTCAGCAAGATAAACTTTAATTACCTGATGGTAAGCAAACCGCGCCGCCCAAGGGAACTCGTAATATCAAAGTTACTACAAATGCGTTGCCGGACTGGGAATTTGAGGATTGAGGATGAGGCGAAGGCCTCCGGTAATCTTAATCACACGGCAACGCACAACGTAAATCTTACTTACGTAAGTGAGGCCGTGGTATGACTCGCCCACATTTAAGAACATCTCCCTCATAATTTTCCTTGCACCTGTAAACCTAGAAATTTAATTAAGAAATATATTTCTAGAAAAGTACGAAAGCCATGATGAGGCAATAGAGTAATTTAGTTCAACACAGTACTGACACTTGATCCTTTATGGTGAACTTGTTCTATTTATACGGAAGGCACTGAGAGTCACGTGTTAATTGGTAGGAGGGCGTTATTACAAAGATCCCAGCATAGTATACGTTGGGATCTCCGTCGTTTTTGTTAATATATACATAAGTCTCAAGGTCCTTTGTGAGATCCACAGATTGTTGTTCCAGGTCTGGGCGTGACGTGTATATGAAATTATATGTTTGTAAAAGCACTATGGAACCAGAACAAAATCACACAGAAAAAATATGTCTTAATATAGAGGACGTAGATAAAATTGATTTCCTATTTTACATAAGAAAATTGGCATATTGCAAATGTTGTTTCTTGGTGTCCGATAAGTGTGAAATAAAGCTGATGTTTGAAGGAAGTCTTATTACTGTTGAGATTGGAAAACCGGTCAAGTGTGAACTGGGAATGTCGAGCTTTGTAGATAGGTCTCTGTACATCAATAGTGTTGCGTATTTGTATTGCTTTTACTTGGCAACAATCAATAAAGAGCAATGACCTTGTTAGTTTGAAATAGTAAATATGCCTTTTATTTATTAGAGTGCTAAAAATGTTAACCAAGAAGGCTCAAAACAAAAAGCAATCGATCTGTCTACTATAAACTGGACACAATTGTAGGTATAGGTGCTATGTATAGCTGAGAAAAAAAAGATGAAAAACAAAAAAAAATCATGAAAAAGGATATCAGAAAAAAAGGGAAATGGAAAAAGGAAGGCTTTTAAGTGTGCGGAGAGCTATGCTTAAGCACAAATAGGCCGGCTCGATCAGAGTAATATCACGGCCTCTGAGAAACCCGGCGTGAAGCAATATACTTACATTGTTTTTCGCCGTACGAGAGAGATTATCTGAGTCTCGATCTTCTACCCCATCTCCAATCATCAAATCCTCTTTCCTTAAAGCTCTGGTATTACAAGTATCTATAGGTGGCGCTGATTATTACCATCAGGTATTCCGTTAGCTCCTTTGCAGACTTATGATAAAGAAAAAGAAAAAAGGGACATCAAAAAAGTAAAAGGAATTGCATATTTTGTAATGCTTGTGTATCAATAAATTTGTGCAGAATTAAGGTTGGGTAAGTAGAACGGTGTATGCACAGATTAGGAGGATTTACCAGAGGGCCTACAAGTATCAAGGTTTGGTACCTACCCTTCTGATGGAGCTGCGAGTTCGTGGTGTATTGCAGAAAAGTTTAAGCAGAAGACCCATTTGTTTATTTGTTCACTAACTGCAACTTAATGTGTTCAGAAAGTCATACAATTTGTACATACTTCCTCGTTTTTCAATTGCAATTTCTTGTAGCTGACTGGAGTGTTACGTTGGCGCACTGCTCATGAATAAGGGAGTCAGTTGTGGCTTGAAACTAGTACAGCTTTTCTCAGTTCAATCACGCGAGCTTGTCGTTATTGTCAGTTTTAGTTATAGTATATGAACATTCTAGAATGTTCTTAATATACAGGGTGTAAGGGACAGCCTTCCGCAAACTGATAGGGTGGATTCAGTATATCATCTTAAGTTGACCGGTACATGAAATTATTTCAGGAACGTTATGGGAATCCAATTAAACCGATTCAAACCTACCTAAACTACGTTTAAAGTCAAGTCAAAGTCAAAGTCAAAATTATTTATTTCAATTAGACCCATACAGGCACTTTTGAACGTCAACACAACTTTAAAGATACAAAGTGTCAGTCTGTCGGTCAGTCCTTTTAGTGAAGCTATTCGCTCGTTCCAAAGTGTAGATTCCGATGGAGAAGAACGAGCAAGAAACTCCATGGTTACTCTTTTAAAATCAGTGTCACATAAACATTCTTTGATACATTATTTAGTTAGTTTGAATATGTGAGAACAGTGTAACGCGTGTATACAGAGAAACATAAAAAGAAAATAACCTTAAGGACAATAGACAGTCCGGAGCTGACCAGTCCCAATTGACGGCGCCCGTTCACGAGCATGACACGTACACCAGCATCGCCCAACTCAACCATAATATAGGGAATCGAGCGATCCAGTGACCGTGCCACCGCCAATGTGACCTTTGAGTGAGCATGACAACTCCAAGCTGACATATGGACCGACATTCTGCTAGTCTAACTAATTTTAATAGGTTACAGGGCACTCACATTTACAAATTTATCAAGTTTAACAATAAAAATAGCATGGTTACAAATTTACAAAATCTAAGAACTTCCGTTCAAGCAAAGATCCACTGGAACATTATTTATATTCGTGTAGGTATATTATCCTGTGGAGCAGGACCAGCCCGTCTCCAAGCATCCTTATCCTCAATATAATCACTCAGTTTGTAATATGCTTTTTTACACAAAGTTTTCTTTATACATAATTTAAAATTTCTTTCATTTAATTGTTGTATTTCGCCTGGGATTTTGTTATAACACTTAACGCTGAATCCCATGAACGACTTGTGTACCTTTGCCAATCTAAATAATGGCTGACACAATCTATCTCTATGTCTAGTTTGGTAATTATGTCTGTCTGATACCTTATCAAATAATATTAAGTGTTTCCTAACATACATTATATTTTCATAAATAAACTGACCGGGCACAGTCATAATATTGATCTCTTTAAATTTATCTCTAAGAGATTCGCGAAGCCTTAGGTTGTAAATTGCTCTGATTGCACGCTTTTGCAAGACAAATATAGACTCAATGTCAGCAGCCTGTCCCCACAACAAGATGCCATACGACATAATGCTATGAAAGTAGCTGAAGTACACCAGTCTTGCAGTGTCCACATCTGTTAGCTGTCGGATCTTCCAGACAGCAAATGCTGCAGAACTCAACCGTCCTGCCAGAGATGTGATATGGGGCCCCCATTGTAGTTTTTCATCTATGGTTATACCCAGAAAAGTAGTCTGTTTTACAAATTCCAATTTCTTGCCGTTTAATAATATGTCACATTCGTTACTTTTTACATTTGGTAAACTGAATCGTATACACTTTGTCTTTTTGTCGTTTAGAACTAAATTATTAACTGTAAACCAGTTATGAACCTTCGTAATAGCATTATTTACTTCGTCATAATTATTTGTCCGTCTATTTATTTTAAAAATCAACGATGTGTCATCAGCAAATAATACCATTCCCGGTTCTCGCTGAAATAAATGAGGTAAGTCATTTATGTAGACCAAAAATAGGAAAGGACCTAATATCGAGCCCTGTGGTACGCCCATAGATATGCTAGCACCCTGAGAATTAACTTTGTTTACCTGTACTTTAAGCTGCCTATCCTGGAGGTATGATTTTAATAAATTGAGTGAAGCCCCTCGAATACCATAGTGTTCCAACTTTAGCAACAGTGTCTCGTGTTCGACGCAATCAAAAGCCTTGGACAGGTCACAAAAAATTCCAATAGCGTCGTGCGACTCCTCCCACGAGGCAAAAACACGCTTAATTAAAGTTACACCGGCGTCAGTTGTGCATCGACCTTTGGTGAACCCATATTGTTGATCATGAAAGATGGAATTCATGTTAAAGTGACGCAGCATCTGAGAAAGCATCAGCTTTTCAAACACCTTACTAAGCACCGGTAAAATAGATACCGGCCTATAATTATTAGGATCGGTATCATCGCCAGATTTAAACAGTGGAACTACTTTGCTATGTTTCATCAAATTTGGAAAAACTCCCTGATCTACACTTCTATTATAAATTAAAGCTAAATGAGGCGCTATAGCTTCTATAAAAGCCCTACACACTGCAACAGACATTCCCCAGAGATCCTCTGTAGACTTAACTTTAATGTCTTTAAACGCCTTTATTACTGATTGGGGGTTTGTGTACTGAAATTGGAAATCAGAACGGCATTCTTTAATATTTCTTTTGAGAAGACTACTTTAAATAGGAAAGCACTGGTAAGTGGTAGCGTCTCGTTACGTTAGCGAACCAATTCCAAAATCCACGTAGGTTTTGGTCTTCCGGCGCCTTTTTGTCTGGGAACAATGGGCTGGTTTTCTAGCAAGCGTAGATAGGCACCAGTAATTATCCTGGAGTCTGATGGATGCCGACGGTCAGGATACCTACACTACTACACATTATCATCTCCCCATAATCACGCGCGCTAAACGTACCTAGGTAGTAATTTCGCACAATTTCTACAACAAAACTTCACTACACTTCCTATAACTAATAAAACTTAACAACACTACTTACAACAAAACTTTTAAGCCGAATGCGCGAGCGATCCGTGCCGACACACGCTCGCGGTACACAAACAATAACATCGCAGCAAGGCACAACGGCGACTGCATGTGATGAGACACACACAAACATAAATCTGTTGTTGCCAATTACACGAAAATTACAAAATTTCGGGAAAAAAAAATTATCCATGGTCGTAAATTATCATTCCGTTATTTTTTGTAGAGAAATGAATTGATTAAATCAATTTAATTCCAATTTCATTGTTTAATAAATTTAGAATAATAAAAGTGCAGTGTGATAGAAAGCTGTGCTTCCATTCCAGGGAGATAACCAATTAAATTACTCAAAAACCCCAATCATTAAAAAGGTTTCTTCTGGCAATATTGTTAAGCATAAACTTAAATTGAAAAATAATACAGATAACCTGTTGTCATTGTATAGTCAAAATGTTCAGGGCTTAGCATCAAAAATCCTACAAATTGAATTGTTTTTAGAAAAGTTCCAATATGACATTATTTGTATAACTGAACATTGGTTAAAAGATTATCAAGTAGAATCAATTAACTTCAATAATTATTGTGTTGGCAACTATTATAGCCGCAAAGAAATGATACATGGTGGTAGCTTGATTTTAGTAAAGAATTCAATAAAATATAAAGAAAGGCAAGACATTGCACTGCTATCAATTGAGCACTCAATAGAGTTGTCCTGTGTTGAACTGGATAGGCATATTGTAGTATGTGTTTATAGGCCTCCTAACATACAGAATTTAAATATATTTTGCTCAGTAATGGAAGATGTATTACAGAAAACGTGTTCTAGTAATAAGTATACAATAGTATGTGGCGATTTTAATGTTGATCTCTTAGAAAACAACTCTTATTGTACAAACTTATTAGGTCTTTTTAAATCTTTTGATCTGTCTAATATATTCCTTGAGCCTACCCGAGTAACATCCACCTCGGCAACTTGTATAGATAATATTTTTTGTAACTGTGATTATTTACATAATGAAATTGTAAACAGATTACCATCTGATCACAGTGGGCTAACAGTCAACTTTAATACTTTTAAAACTGTGGCAACTAAGGAAATTATATTCAGACAGATAACAAACAAAAAAATTGAGTCATTAAATAAAAATTTAAAACATAAATTATGCAGCCCATTACAAGACAATGAATGCCCGAGTGAGATCTATGCTAACTTATTATCCATCATAAAAATACAGTTCGACAAAATGTTCCCTTTAAAACGTAAAAATATCCAGTGTAAATTTTTATTCTGTGACTGGGCTACACCAGGCATTCGTATAAGTAGAGAAAAGTTATTTGAGCTATATGGCATGAAACCATTTAATAAAAGTGAGGCTTTTCGTAGGCATGTCTCCAAATATTCAAAAATATTTAAATTAGTTTGTAAGCATGCTAAATCACTCTATATTAGCAGTAAAATCCGGACCGCGGAAAATAAAATAAAAGCTACCTGGAGTATAATTAATAATGAAACAGGTAGAAACAAATCTAATAAGACAGAATTTAATTTAAAAACCGAAAAGGGATTTACTAGTACAAATTCATTAGTTGCCCAGGAATTCGAAAATTTCTTTAAAAATATTCCCATCAAAACTACGGAAACGTTGCAATCATCTCCAGCACTTGCGGTCGAGCTTCTCAGAAGTAACGTCAAAGAATGTCCTGCGGACTTTAGGTTTAATCATACAAACCCCCAGGAAGTAATAAAGGCGTTTAAAGATATCAAAGTAAAGTCCAGTGAAGATCTCTGGGGAATGTCTGTTAGAGTGTGCAGGTCTTTTATAGAGACTATAGCGCCTTACTTAACTTTAATTTTTAATAAAAGTGTAGATCAAGGGGTTTTCCCGGATTTAATGAAACATAGTAAAGTAGTTCCATTACTTAAATCAGGTGATAGCACAGAACGCAATAACTATAGGCCGGTCTCTATTTTGCCAGTGCTCAGTAAAGTGTTTGAAAAGTTGATACTTACTCAAATACTGCGTCACTTTAACGCGAATTCTATTTTCCATGACCAACAATACGGGTTCACTAAGGGACGTTGCACTACGGACGCAGGAGTATCGCTTATAAAACAAGTTTTCAAATCGTGGGAAAAAGCACAGGATGCCATCGGAATATTTTGCGATCTTTCGAAGGCTTTTGACTGTGTTGAGCACGAAACGCTATTACTGAAGCTGCAACACTACGGCATTCGGGGGGTATCCCTAAATTTATTAAAATCATACCTTCTAGAAAGACTTCTTACAGTACAAGTAAACAGAGTAAACTCCCAGGGTGCTAGCGTATCTATGGGCGTACCGCAGGGCTCAATATTGGGTCCATTCCTATTTTTGGTTTATGTCAATGACCTGCCCCATTTATTCCAAAGTGAACCGCATATGGTATTATTCGCTGATGACACATCCTTGATTTTTAAATTAAATAGACGATCAAATAACTATGACGACGTGAATAATGCCTTAACGAAAGTTCATAATTGGTTCACAAAAAACAACTTAGTACTTAATGATAAAAAGACGAAATGCATTAGATTTATTTTGCCAAATGTTAAAAGTAACGTATGCGATGATATATTATTAAATGGTCAGAAACTGGAATTTGTAAAGGAGACCACATTCTTGGGGATTACTGTAGACGACAAGCTGCAATGGGGGCCCCACATTAGATCTCTAGCAGCCGAGCTCAACCGCCCGGTTGAGCTCGGCAGCTTATGCTGTCTGGAAGATCCGTCAGCTAACCGACGTAGGCACGGCACGACTAGTGTACTTTAGCTACTTTCACAGCATCATGTCGTATGGAATTCTGTTGTGGGGACAGGCATCCGACGTTGAGTCTATCTTTATCTTACAAAAGCGTGCAGTCAGAGCTATCTATAACTTAGGTCGTCGCGAATCTCTCAGAGAAAAGTTTAAGGAGATCAACATTATGACCGTACCATGTCAATATATTTATGAAAACATTATGTATGTTAGGAAAAACCTACAGCTATTTGTAAAAGTATCTGACAAGCATGACTATCTTACTAGACATAGAAATAGATTAAGTCAGCCTTTATTTAGATTAGCAAAAGTGCATAAGTCGTTCATGGGATTATGTGTTAAATGTTATAATAAAATCCCAACTGAAATACAAAATCTTAATGAAAGTAAATTTAAATTATGTATAAAGAAAGTATTATGTAGGAAAGCATACTACAAACTAAATGATTATGTAGAAGATAAAAATGCTTGGAGGGTGGCTGGTTTGACTGCACAGGATAAAAATTGTTAAGGTTAAGAGGAATTTTGATCTCAATTATTAAATTATTCACCATGTTGTTGATTGTTGATAAACTGGATTTTTGTAAATGTGAGAGCCCTGTAACTTATTATAATTGAGTTAGACTTATAGACTTATAGTATATTGGTACTTGTGTCAGTTGGGAGTTGTCATGCTCACTCAGGAGTCTCATTGGCGGTGGCACGGGCACTGCACCCTATAATATGGTTGAGTTGGGAGGTGCTGGTGTACGTGTCATGTTCGTGAACGGACGCCGCCTATTGGGACTGGTCAACTCGAGACTGTCTAAAGTTGCTGTCCCTGAGGGTTATTTCTTTTTCGGATACTTTGGTTAAACACTAGTGTTACACTGTTCTCACATAATGGAGCTATCTAAATTATGTAACAATGTATTGTAAAAAGTGATTGAAAAAGAGTAACCATGGAGTTTCTTGCTCGTTCTTCTCCATAGGAATCTACACTTTGGAACGAGCAAATAGCTTCACTAGAGGACAGACGGACAGACTGACACATAAAGTTAAACCTGATATCTTTTTTGCTTGACGTTCAAAAGTGCCTTTTTTGGTCTATTTGAAATAAAGAATTTGATTTGATTTGATTTGATTTGATTGTGTTTAATTTCTGGCTTGACTATCAATTCATGGCTATTGTGAAGCCATGTAAAAATCTGTAAGTAGTTTAAAAACTAGCCAGTAATCGCTTGAAAAGAACAATCAATTAATAAATTAGGTAGTATTTGTAAATGCTTTAAAATTAAAACTAGACTAATCTTTATTTATTTTTTATTCAATTTATGTGTGCGACAAGATTTTCATTAATTGATTAATGAAAATCACATCAATGTAATTATGAATGCAAAGGATTTCTCAAGTTTTAGATAAATTTCGATAGTTCTAACATTTTCGTTTACTACCTGAGGTAACAAAAGTTAAAAGTTGGCAACACTGGTTCAATCGGGAAAACGCGGAGGCCGGGCGGCAGAAAGGGACGCAGCTATTCTGTACGTTGGACGGGATCGTAGGTACCTACGGCGCGGCGATCGGCGCGGTGGGCGCCGTGGCCGCTGCGCCGTGACCGCGGCGCGGTGAGTTCAAACGACTCTAGCTAGGTAGAAATTGAACAGCTGATTTCATGCGTAGTTCTTTAGAGAATTCACACAACCATTGCGTATTTTTTTGTTTTAGCTGTGTTATTTACATTAATGTTATTCTTCATACAGAGAATGTAATTATACATTGAAATAGAGGTGTAGGAACTGGAAAAACGAAAAAATATTGAATATTTTCCAGAAAGAATTTTCACTGGATTATGATTCAGAATAAGGAGCTGATTGCACCCTGTTAATTTGTGGAGGGCTGTCCCTTACATCCTGTATAACAGTAAACTAATAACTATTTAATAAGAATTCGGCACATAACTGATGAAATGTGACTCTAATATTGTTGGTAAATAAAGATGAGCACCTAGGCCAGATCGTCAGGGTTTTAAATACCAAATGTTATATTAATGTATTTTTATTATAACTTTCGTGAGACATTCTAAATTAATTATTATGTTTTCGGCTTACTCACGTAATAATTTGACGAGATACTCGACTAGTTTCAAGCCATGCTAGAGGACCATATTCATGAGCAGCATTCCGCGACACGCGGCGACTGTCGCGCTGCTACTGCGACAGTACTACATAATAATTAATGTTATATAAATGGTTTAAGTCTGGCGTAAAATTGTATGTAGTAAGCTTACTGCTATTTTCCTGCCTCGTGTCACGTTTGCAATATTAATAAATACGCCCTCGCTATAAACTTCCTATTGCTGTTACTAAATTGTTAACTGTAAACACTTCATTATAAAATTACGTGGTAATTTATGTACATTGAATTCTATTATTAAATCTGTTAAGTTGATTTTGGAATAAATATTTGTGTGGGTATCAGTTTGTTGTGTTAATAAATGGGAAGTATTTTAAGACATGTTTCATATAAGTGTTACTAGATATATTTTTGTTACAGCTATATAAGAACTTACATGTACGTTTCTGCTTTTAAGTATTTTATCAATTAATATTTTTTTTGGTATTTTAACGCATTTTCTTAAATAATATTACATTTTCGACGACTTTACTACTGCTATCCGGATAACTGCACAGCATTTAATTGGACGTATTTATGCAACACAGAATCAACCCACACAATGACAGTTTTGAGTAAAAGCAGTTTTTGTCTAAATTTTGTATAGAGTAAAATTATCAGTAATTTTAATTAAAGTTTCTTTATATTATTGTAAAAAATAGTTTGTTCTGTGTATACAAACCTAATATTGATGAAAATATTTAATATTTTTAATAATAATTCAATAAAAACTCGTTGGTTCCTTTTTACAAAACTATCTTTGTGTGGATTGGTTCTTTATTAACTTATTATACTGCCATAATTATGTAAGAAAAAAAAATTAAAACACCATTTTTTTAACGTATCCATTTATATTTGTAAAATAAAAATCAATCTTAAATGTCTAGAATTATATGAAATGTGAAAATGCTTAGAACTATATACCAAACTGCTCAAAAGTAACTTAATCTAAATCCGTTTCTAGTTCAAAATCCGGTTGACCTGAAAAACCGTCAATATCGTCTTCTGTATCCTCATTTCCAGTAAGTTTTACATAAAAATCATGTGAGTCTTGCGGAATAAGGTGTAGCATACTTTTTAAATCTTTTAATTTAGCGTCAGGGACAGGTTTGCCTGTTGGCCAAAGTGGCGCCATCAACGCTTTTGTTATAAAATATTGTCTTCCGCGAACATTTTTTTTTATGTCCACTACCTTAAATTCTTCATTCAAATCAGTTTTCATGTAAATTTTGAACATTTCATCCTTTTTAATCATTATTTCTTTCGTATGAAGCCATGAAACTTTCTCTCCATCTACCGTTTTCTTTCTGTTGATTATATTCTTTTCTAATTTTAATGAGGACAAGAAGTCTTCATTTTTCATCCTGTGCACATGCATTGGATTGGTTTTTTTACAAGTTTTCATAACATGAATATAATCATCCGGTGTATAGAGCCTCTGTTGACGTTTTAAGGCACATTCTATTTTTCCAAAATCTGTATCATTTGGGAGGAAGCTATGTCCTGATTCTAAGAATTTTATATTTATTTGGTCTAAAGATGGGTGTTCATTCAACATAGCTTTCAGCATTAATATCAATTTTATATTGCGATTCTGACCTCCACACGAATCACTCCATAAAATCAAAAATTTCACATTGTCATCAAGCCTTTCGGTAATGTGTTTGATTAGACAAGACCCCACCTCTTGAGCACCTCTTCCAGCTTCTCCTTCTACCCATACATTACAGTGAGCTTCGTCTTTGCTTCCTGTATGTATACCTAAATTGTATACCCACAGTTGTCTTTTGTAAAATACGATATTAGTGGGTATGCGCGGTAACGGTAAAGTTTTTTGGAGATCGAAAGTAAGAGTTTCGACGGTGGGATTATTTTTAGCTAGTTCCATGTCAGTTCTCAACTGATTTTGTAAGCTTTTTGCCATTTCCTGATGCGCTGCTCGTTTTAGTATAATGTCACCTCTATTTTCTTCCGACAACACAAGAATTTGACTTTCAAAAAAGTCACACTTATTGCACGTATCTTTCTTGAGAGGCTTGGTGCGCAGGTTAAATTTTGTATAAAATAATTTATTGACTTTTGCAGCAGACAATAATTTAATGTCGGTGGATTTCGCTTCATTGCTGTACAACTCGTATATTTTTGATAAAGTCATGTCAGGTCTCAGAAACTTAGCCCCTTCTGTTTCTTGTCGACGATAGTGAGATATATATGTCGGCAACTTTTTTATCAGGTTAATCACGAACTCCTCGCTTTCAGGAGGCGTTCTATTGAAACCCCCATGTAAACCACGATTATCAGTAATGCAACTGTCTGATCGCATCTTACAAAGCGACGTATTAATTCGTTTTGCCGATGTCTGCAATGTTTTGACAAACATATCTCTACAAACTGATACGCCATCTAGAAAATATTGGCGTGAATAAGACTTTTTCTTCGAAACTTGGGTTTTATTGTCAGTTGCAACGTAATGCCGCTTCACAGGCTGTTCGTTTATTAAAGCAGTTAAAAACATATTTTGAGCATTATAAGATCCTAGGGAATAAAACTTCTTAAATTGAGCCAATCTCTTTTCTACTGAAATATTTTCATGGCACTTTTTTAGGCAATTGCATTCATAATCTATAAATTCTTTAGGACTGACAATCTTTTTCTTAGAGTTGACATAGGACAAATTTGTATACTTACGTTTCTTCCTTTCTTCCCGCGATATACCACCATATTTTGGCTTTCTACCTCTTTTTGGCCGTCCCGTAGGCTGTATTACGCGTAAACTATCATTATTACCATTACCATTGTCAGACTCTAAAACAAATGCCATCTCACTATCGTCATGCATATTTTCCTGTTGAGCATTTAGAGGACCTAAATTAATTAATTCTATTTGACAATTAGCGATCTCGTTAATCCTGTGATCTGTTTGGTTGATTTCTGCATGTGCAGTACCAGTTATCAATGAAATTGAATTATTAGAACTATCACCACTCGAGCCATAATTCTCAAAAGCACAATAATCGGGATCTTTAACCGAATCATCGCTATCAATAAATAATGGAGCATCGCCACTTTTCAAGCTTGTTATCGATGAGGTGTCAGATACGCCTTCAATATTCAGATAATAACTATTAATTTCTCTTGAATCAGCTAAAATATTAAACAAAGACGCCGTTTCTGGAGACATAGAAGGAAGCGGTGATACAGTTTTATCAGCAAGAGTTCCAATAAGTTTTTCCGAAGTAAATGTTTCTGCAGAAGTTGCATTATTTCTAGCGGTGACTGGGCATGGGGTCAGCGGTGAGTACGGAGGTGGTTCTATGCTTTTTTCAGCAGTTTCTATTTCATAAGTTGCGTTATTTTTAGCGATGACTGGGCGTGGGGTCAGCGGTGAGTATGGAGGTGGTTCTATGCTTTTTTCAGCAGTCTCGATTTCATAAGTGTCAACAGGGCTATGTGATGTTTTATTTTCCTTCACAAAATTTGTAGCTGAAGACGGAACAGGAGACAGAGGACTCTGGGAAACATCAGCAGAGACTGTAAGTAATTTAGCAGGCAAATTAGGATTGGATATAGCTCCATCACCGCAAGCCGTTTTTTCATGCAAACTGTTAAATTCACCATGCGTACTCAATTTTCCTCGTTTTTGCAGCAAACCTAGAATAATAGCCCGCGTTTAATCACAAATTGCTCATTTGAACATGCCTATG